CAGAGATTCATACCCAGCTGTCACTGTGTCTTAAGATGTTTTGACAGTATTTATAAGATGTCTTGAGACATTTTCTTATGCCAAGACATCTCAAGAACGTCTTAAGACATATGAGTGAAGACACTGTCTTTGTCTTGAGACATGAAAGTTAACAACTTAAGACAAAGAAGTAATTATTTAGTGTGTCTTGAAGACGAGGCACGACTTAAGACATCACTTTGTCTTAAGACACAGAGATGTTGTGTCTTAAGACAGTTCAGTTGAGTCCAAAGAGTGGTCCTTTACAAAAAGTCCTGTGGTATGAATGTGGTATTCCTGTGATACTGCCAAACTGAAAATTACTACTGAGGATTACCAGGATTACCACAGCACTGCCTAATGTACAATATAATGAGAATATAACAAGTATGTCCTCAAGAAACAGCCTGCTGTAATCTTATGGTTTTTGTGTGATATTACTAAAAGAATATTCACAAAGGCTTTACTTGCTGTACTTTTGTGATTCTTTTTTTTTTGTATGTCTTGTTTTTTGATTATTGCAGAAATGTGTTTACAGTGGCAAAATAGCAAAAGAAAATTCAGAAAAAAGAAAATCAATTCTTAAACCGTTTACCTTACCTTAAAATGTTTAAACTCGTTTCCTTATATCATTGAAGTTCATGGTAGAATAACTTTTAATTTGTAACATTTACCAAAGGAGATAATCACAGTCAGTCACAGCCTTTTACTCATCTGCAGAAAACATGCTATGATTAAAACAACATTGATCTATTTTCAAATGTCCAATTGTAACCAGGGACAACAAGCTAGGAACCAAGATAAAACAACTTTGAGCTAATAGGAAGTAAATGTACTTAACAGCTAACCTGAGTACTTTAGAGATCACATACCACCAAAACTTAATGCAGAAAAAGCACTTGGTTCACTCTCTTCAACATCTACACTTCTGTTTATTTTCTTAAGCAGATCAGGGCTGCCCAAAGTTTGACCATTAGGACTTTTAATTTGGCCCAACAGAAAGAGAGAACAAACTTTTTTATATACTGTGTATAACTTTCAAATTATTATCTCCAGGTATTTGGAAACCACAAACAATAATAAACAAATGTATTTGAGTAGTGATATAAAGACCTGTATTGTTTCACCACGTAAAATTACATAATAAACAGATTTTTGTTTAAATGTCCATCTTCATACTTTGACTTTAATATATTAAGACATGGCCTCCAGTGATGCTTTGTAAAATAATCCTGTACAGCTGTCTTATGTATTTCAAGGGTTTGCAGTTTTCTATTCTGTCTAGATTAAAAAAACAAACAAACAAAACAAAACAGCACAGTTCATTCAGTACAGAGAGGCGCGAACCAGAAAAAAAGCTCTATGGGAGGACAAACAAAAGACTGGCGGGAGTTTAGACCAATCAGAGCGCGAGACTCCACCGCTTGGACGTTCGATTTTGAAGCGCGAGCGCTCTCCGCCGTTCCTCCGTTTAAAGCCAAGCGCGACCATTACAGCCGTTTACAGTGAGCGAGTCTCTCAGGTCACTAACGCGGGCAGTTTATCCTGCACAGTGCAGCAGGGTTAGCACACTGAGCAACAGTGCAGCAGGGTTAGCACACTGATCACAGCTGAAAGAAGAGATCGGTAACATTAGCAGTGTGATATAAGTAATGTTAGTGTTCAGGCATTACAGCATGGACATATGCACATCGAGTTATCTGGGTCCTGTTTCCTGTGTCCACATATGTCCACATAAAATGTCCACAGCTTGGCTCTATTCCAGCTCCCAGCACATCTGAGTCTGGTGTTAATTGTTTGACAGCTGATCATTATCTGGCTCAGGTATGTTATGAGTACTGCTGGGGTTCAGACCCTGTATTACTCTGTTGGTCAGTTTTTCTTTTTAGTCCATATGAATTTGTCTTAAAATTGTTTCCCATCATTTATAATTGTTCATAGTACTATATTGCTAATAACTTTAGCATAACTTATATACGGAGTAACAGCAGACCTTAAAATCAGATTCATTGGTCGGAACTGTGTATTTATTGCATTATATTTCAGATTTCTACACAAAGTCAGTTAACATGTTTTTCCCCGTCTGTAGAACATATCAGGTGTGATGACGCTATTGTACTATGCATATACACAGATGTCAAAACAATAAACAATAACTGTAATCTATATTTTTTGAAAGCTATGTGGATGCTTTTTCATGGGCTATGCTTTGGATTGCAGAGTAAATTGTTTGAATATAGAAGTATTTTGAATTTTTAACAGATTAACAAGAAAATACAAAACTGTAAAATAGTGATGTTCCATACCCCTTTAAATTACATTACTGTAATTTATGCATACTTATTATTGTTCTTGTTCTCCTTCTTATTATTATTATTTTAAAAGTTGATAAAATGATATCTTCATTAAAAAATGAAGCAACTGTAAAATATTAATTGTAAAAAAAAATGTTTTTAACACATTTTTAAAACATGAAGGGTTAATTACTATAAAAAGGTATTTAAATGAACTGAATTAGATTTTTTAATTTTGCAGCAACGCTGTATTAAAAAATAGTTGCATAAGAGTCTTCCCTCATACTACCACCATGTTGAAGGCATGGTCTGAACTCACAAATAGATTTTCACTGATTCCATAAGCTTTTCTAATGCAACAGAAACATTAAAGGCGAATTCCACATTTTTGTACACTTGATTCTGTCCTTGCGATGTGAACAAAGTCATTTAGTGGTTTCATATAAAATGGTTATTGTAGAGAAAGTTACAGACTGGGAACCATGTGCCTATTATTGTTATTGTTGTTATTATTATTATTATTATTATTACTTTTGTTGTTAAATTTGTTCTGAAATGTATACATGTAGTATGTACTAATGTATGTAATGTTTGTATGTTTATAAAATAATATACAATATATATATTAAAATAAGTGATACCATTATGCATCCTACATAGAACAAAAAAAATAAATAATGAAAAAAATTTAATCACTAGAATTTTGCTATAAATAATGTTACGTTTTTAAATTCCCTTAAAAGTAAAAGATTTATTTAAAAAAATATATAGGTAAAATTTAAAAGTACGTATTATGCATCCTACATCTTGAGACGTCTTGGGATGTTATTATTGCCAAGACATCTTAAGATCCATGTCTATAGACATGTGTTAAAGACATGTCTTCATTTCTTAAGACATGCCTCAAGATGTCCTAAGACGTCTTCATAATGTGTCTTTAGACATGTCTTAAGACATCCCAAGACGTGGTAATGGCTGGGTATGTTGTGCTGTGCTTTTCTCTAAAACCAGATTAGTTGTCTGACAAGACTGAATTTCTATGCAGAAATGTCTTGAGTTGATCATTCACTAAGGTTTCTAGGATCTTGGCCAAAGCACGATCCTTTCAAAATGGGTCTATAATTTTTAAGATCATATAATATTTATATATAAATATATATATATATATATATATATATATATATATATATATATATATATATATATATATATATATATATATATATAATTATATGATCTTATATAAGATCATATAATTATTAATATGTTGCCTATTTTTACTTACACTTTCAGAAAAAAAAAACTTCATAAAGGTTTAGGTCCATTTGGCACTCGTTGCCTACCCAAAAAATCCAGGCCTGACGCTGACAGTCAGTAGAAGTTATTTATGATTGTCTCTTCACCAAAGAGATGCTGCTAAAGACCAGACTTTAAACCGGTTGGACAGGATTAGTTTGTTACCTCAGGAGGAAATGCATGCTCAGGTACCTGGGTGAGTCTGCTGTTAAGTAAATCAACTCAGTGTCATCCAACTGACTGTCTATAAACACTGAGCTACATAACAGAGTAAATCAAGTATACAAAACTACACATAGAAATAGTTTTGCTGAAAAAGTGAACAAAAATTAACAGAATGCACATGTCTGGGACTGCAGCTATCCAGATTAAGGGGCACATTTTCTTCCCCTGACTGTCAACGTCAGCTGTCCAATCCCTGTGATCAGTGCCAGTTCGATGGTCACAGTGCAGAGATGAATTGGCATGCCTTCCAGCTCAAGCTCACCTGGTACCACTTCTGGCTGGGCCACTGTGACTGATGACCCCATGTCTACTGGAGCAGTGCATGGAACTCGTTCAGTGTCGTTGGAAATGTGGTAGAAGTTGGTACGTATGTGGTAGATATGGACGTTCACCCCACCACAGTCACTATTTGTTTGCTGCCTGTGCTGTTCTTTTTGGCTAGGCTAGCATTCTTTCCTACCAGCTTCAGCCCCAATGGACAAGCCCTAGCTAGATGTCCTGGCCGGCCTCATGTCCAATACCAATGGAAGTCCCATGCCACTGGCTATACAACTGCCAGTATGGCCAGTGGATTTCTGTATTTTTCAATCAGTTGCCTATTGTTACTTTCACTTTTTTTTACTAAAAAAATCATAAAGTAAAAGTTAGCTTATAAATATGATCAGATTGATTGAAATAGAGGAAACCAAACACCAGCACGAAATGCATGCATGTTTGTGGTAGTGAGTTGTGTGTATGACGCTAAAAATATCTCTCGAAAGAATGTAGTTTAACAACTATGTCATAGCAGTGCACCGTAAAAAGGAATTCAGTGTTACATGATTCAAGAATCAGTATTTCAGTTTTCTCCTGATTCATTTGTAGATTTTTTTTATTTAAACATTAAAGCAAGTAAAAGTACTATAATTTAATTATGTTCAAAAAAGTACTTTTACAGGGAAAAATGTACTGAAGTACATACACAGTATGTTATGTACAATAACGAGAGTAGATGTAATGTTACTTTCCTCCTCTGGTAATAGTAATGAGTGAAACAAATCTGTGTATACCACCTCAAAATATAATTTTTACCTCTCTGTGAAATACAGATTCTGATAAACTTTAATGTAAACAGATTCTTAAACTTAAAGACTTAAAGACTCAGACTTCTCAAACTTTATCACTCACCTCCATATATGTTGTTTATAACTGTCAGTGGTCCTTGAACAGTGTTTCCATCGATCATAGGAGCACATGCTGTTCCTCCTGTCTGAGCTGTGATGTTGGTCTGGACAGGAGCTCTGTCATCTGGAGTCTGAACTTCCATCTTCTAATGGAAAGGCTTTTGGTCATCAAGCCACAGAGTAAATTCAGGCTGTTCAGACTTTAATAATTATCTTTTTGATTTTTCTCTAGAAGTTATTTATGACCATCTCTTCACCAAACAGATGCTGCTAAAGACTGCGCTTTAAACCAGTTGGACAGCATTAGTTTGTCATCTCAGGAGGAAATGCATGTTCAGGTACCTGGGCGAGTCTGCTGTTGAGTGAACCAACTCAGCGTCATCCGACTGACTCTCTATGATCTACATAATAAAGTAAATCAAACCCAGTAGACAAAACTACGCATAGAAATAGTTTTCTCTTTGTCTGTTAAAGCCTGTGTTCTATTTTGTGTAAAAATACTAATATAGTTTTAAGAAATGTTTAAAATGTTTTAAAGTCTTAATTTTAGGTTGTTCAACTGCATTTACTCACTGGATTTATTCTACTGTGGAGAGCCGAGTGCAGCAACTGCAACTGGCTCTGATGCTGCATGTTCCACTATGCATTGGGCATCGGCTGGCTTCATTGCCACTGTGTGGCTGCCTCTGGAATTCAAAGTGGCACTCTCTAGGTCCATTTGGCACTCTTGGCCCCCCAAAAAGTCCAGGCCCAGAAGCACATCTTGGACATGAGCTATCCAGTCTAAATGTCCAACACCGGCAGTAGTCCCATGCTACCGGCTGTGCAACTGCAGGTATGGCCAGAGGATTTCTGTATTTCTGTATAATGAATATGTATTCCTACCACATGAATTCTGTTATGTTCCCAACCCCATCTTATACGATCAAACTCTAAAATATTAATTAATGTATTCACATTCCAAGCCATTACATTGTAACATGAAAGATTATGGTAAAACAAGAATTTTGTCTTTTATATATGTTGAATCCCTTCCTGGATCGGGGCCTTGATGTGGCGGAAGGGCTTGTGTGGTCTAGGGATCTCGTCGGTAGCAATATACTCCTGGTAGGGTCTCCCAGGGTGAACAGAACTTGAATTCTGTTATATCCCCAACACCATCTTATATGATCAAACTGTAAAACATTCATTAAATTAATGTATTCACATTCCAAGCCATTACATTGTAACATGAAAATGGAGTGAAGACCCAGACTAACTCGATCCAAAAATCCTCCATGAAAAACGGACACAGAAGACCGTGTACCCTGCCCAGGAAAGGGACCTACCCCTGGAGCCAGGCCTGGGGGTAGCATCCCTCGGCGAGCGCCTGGTGGCCGGGCAGCCCCTTAACCCAGCCGGGCACAGCCCGAAGAGGCAACATGGGGAGACTATGTGTGCCCACCACCAGCAATGTCCAGCATGGGAGAGAGGTGCAGTGCCTTGGACTGGCAGACCGGGGTGGTAGTGGTCCCTATTTTTAAGAAAGGGGACCGGAGGGTGTGTACCAACTACCGGGGTATCACACTGCTCAGCCTCCCTGGGAAAGTCTATGCCAAGGTACTAGAAAGGAGACTTCGACCGATAGTTGAACCTCAGATTGAGGAGGAACAATGTGGATTCCATCCCACCGTGGGACAATGGACCAGCTTTTCACCCTCTCACAGACTGTTGAGGGGGCATGGGAGTTTGCCAACCCAGTCTACATGTGTTTTGTGGACTTGGAGAAGGCTTACGATCGTGTTCCCCGAGATATCTTGTGGGAGGTCCTCCGGTAGTATGGGGTACCGGGGCTACTACTCCGGGCCATTCAATCTCTGAACTCCCGGTGTGAGTGAGTGTGTGAGTGTGTGTGAGAGAGAGAGAGAGTGTGTGTGTGTGTGTGTGTGTGCGTGTTAGTGTGTGTGTGTGTGTGAGTGTGTGTGTGTGTGTGCGTGTGAGTGTGTGTGTGTGTGTGTGTGTGTGAGAGAGAGAGAGAGAGAGAGAGAGAGTGTGTGTGTGTGTGTACAATTAGCTAACCTGAGTACTTTAGAGATCTCATACCACCAAAACTTAATGCAGAAAAAGCACTTGGTTCACTCTCTTCAACATCTACACTTCTGTTTATTCTCTTAAGCAGATCAGGGCTGCCCAAAGTTAGACTTTTAATTTGTATAACTTTCAAAATTATTATCTCTAGTATTTGGAAAACACGAACAATAATAAACAAATGTATTTGAGTAGTAATATATAAGGACCTGTATTGTTTCACCACGTAAAATTACATAATAAACAGATTTTTGTTTAAATGTCCAACTTCATACTTTGACTTTAATATATTAAAACATGGCCTCCAGTGATGCTGTATGATAATGCTGCACAGCTGTCTTATGTATTTGAAGGGTTTGCAGTTTTCTATTCTGTGTCTAGATTAAAAAAACAAACAAACAAAAACAAATCAGCACAGTTCATTCAGTACAGCAGAGCCGTGCGAACCAGAAAAAAAAGATCTATGGGAGGACAAACAAAAAAAGACTGGCGGGAGTTTAGACCAATCAGAGCGCGCGACTCCGCCGCTTGGACGTTCGGTTTTGAAGCGCGAGCGCTCTCCGCCGTTCCTCCGTTTAAAGCCAAACGCGGCCGTTACAGCCGTTTACAGTGAGCGGGAGTTTGTTTAGCGAGTGTTAAACCTGATAAGACTCTCTTACACTCCTTACTAAGACAGCGTTCGCATACTCAGCATTAGGTCAGGCTCTTTCAGTGTTAGCGTTGGACTCTGCCAGGGTTGTGCCTTGTCTCCACTCCTGTTCATGATATTCATGGACAGGGTGTCAAGGCATAGCCGAGGTCAAGAGAGCATTATGTGTGGAGGCCGGAGGGTGGCATCTCTGCTATTTGCAGACGATGTTGTTCTTTTGGCTGGATCGCATGGATGCCTCCAGCGCTCACTGGAGCGGTTTGCAGCTGAGTGTGAAGCAGTTGGTAAGCGGATCAGCACCTCCAAGTCTGAGTCCAGGGTCCCAGCCCAGAAACGGATGGCAAGCCCACTCCAGGTAAGGGGACAGGACTTTCCCCAGGTGGAGGAGTTTAAGTATCTCTTCACAGGGTGGCAAGCTACACTCTACTTAATAGGGTGAGGAGCTCGGTTATCTGGGAGGAGCTCGGAGTAGAGCTGCTACTCCTCCGCATTGAGAGGAACCAGTTGAAGTGATTCAGGCATCTGATCCAGATGCCCCCTGGGTGCCTCCTGGTGGGGGTGTACCAGGCACAACCTACTGGGACAAGACCCCGGGGTCGTCCTAGGACCCGTTGGAGGGATTATATCTCCAAGTTGGCCTTGGAGCGGCTTGGGGTCCCCGGGAATGAGCTGGAGGAAGTTGCAGGAGACAGGGTCGTCTGGGATTCTCTGCTCTCCCAACTGCTACCACGACCCTATCTGGACTAAGCGGTTAAAGATGATGATGATGATCATGATATATGTTGAATTGTGTTTAATATGACCATGGACATTAACTAACAAGATAAACTAGCAAGGTAAAAAGGATAAACATACACTAACAAAGGCGACGTGCCTCTTTGATTTCAGGTTTACTTTAAATATACTTTATCAAAATATCATAAGTAAAAGTATTGAGAGTTATTGCGGTTATATTATTTTGATGAATAATTTCTGTTAATGAGGCCTGTGTGGGGCGGCACGGTGGCGCAGTGGGTAGCGCTGTCACCTGGGTTCGATTCCTGGCCGGAGTGACCAGGGTCGTTTCTGTGTGGAGTTTGCATGTTCTCCCCGTGTCTGTGTGGGTTTCCTCCGGGTACTCCGGTTTCCTCCCACAGTCCAAAGACATGCAGTCAGGCCAACTGGACGTGCTAAATTGCCCCTAGGTGTGTGTGTGTGAATGTGTATGTATGTCTGTCTGTCTGCCCTGCAATGGACTGGCGACCTGTCCAGAGTGTATCCTGCCTTCTGCCCAATGACAGCTGGGATAGGCTCCAGCACCCCACCGCGACCCAGAAGGATAAGCGGTTTAGATGATGGATGGATGGATGGATGGATGAAAGTATTCATCAAAATTAAATGATTTTATAAGAATTTAGAATACTTTTACTCCTGATACTTATGTAATTTAAAAGCCAGTACTCAAGTACAAATGTTGAGTGAATACCTTTACACAAGTAATATTTAACCAGAAGTATTTCTGCTTTTACTCAACAAGTAAGAAGTTGTGTGCTTTGTCCACTCTGCTCCTTGTTGATCACCTAAGTCCAGAAGAGGCCAGGAACAATAAAGCATTCTCAGGTATGGAAGCAGCATGCTTGAGAAGCTTGAATGCTTGTACAAATACAGTTAGTCAACATAAAAGTGCCTGTATCTGTTTCAGTTGTTGAATTTAGTATTTTAAACCTTTACTAAATATTTTATCGTCTTATAGCCATCCATCTGCTGCTTCTGGTCCTTGACTGGTCAGGACTAAAAGCTTGTCCCAGATCCTTTAATCTATAGTGTCATTTATAGTATTGCTCTTTGTAATATTAGTAGTAATTTACAACATATTTTACTACATCTTCAAGCATAAACATTTCCATTATTATGTATTTAAACATTAAAACAGTTGCTCATCTGCTTTGCTTTTTCTTTAATTTGCAAAACTGTTGTATAAAAATAGTCGGGCTTTCAAGGGTGTGTGCTATTGTGAAAAACATTACATTGTTATTCACCTTTGCTTTTTCTTATTGTTGCTTTGTAGAATTATTTTTCATACTGTCTGCTATTCATTCAGCATTATTCTCATCCTTATGTTTTGTCTGGTGAATGTAAAGAAGGTAGTTCATCTGCTGCGGCACAGTTTGTGTTGGTCATCCTCTAGTCCTTCATTAGTGGTCACAGGACGCTGCCCACAGGACGCTGTTGGCTGGATATTTTTGGTTGGTGGACAATTTCTCAGTCCAGCAGTGACACTGAGAGGTTGAAATCCTTGCTGTATCTGATACACTAGTACCAGTACCACATGTGCTACAATGTCAGTGTCACTGCTACGCTGAGAACAAAACAATAATAATACCTGCTCTGTGGTGGTCCTGGGGTGGTCCTGATCACTGATGAACCAGGTGAAAGCAGGTTAACAAA